CTTGGTGGAAACAGAAGATGATTGTGTTTGAAGATTTTGTTTTATTGACACTTCATTGAAACAGAAGTTCCATCCTGAAAAGGGGGTTTTCTTTGGTTGGTTTGTTTGTTTTGGATTTTTCGAGACAGGGTTTCTCTGTGTAGCTTTGCGCCTTTCCTGGAACTCACTTGGTAGCCCAGGCTGGCCTCGAACTCACAGAGATCCGCCTGCCTCTGCCTCCCGAGTGCTGGGATTAAAGGCGTGCGCCACCACCGCCCGGCTGTTTGTTTTATTTTTTGAGGGGGATATTTTGAGACAGGGTCTCAGGTAGTCCAGGCTGGCCTCCAACTTGCTATGCCGCTGAAGCTGCCTCTGAACTTGGGATCCCTCTGTTTCCCACTCCGGAGTGCTGGGGTTACACGTGCGCCCACCACACTTGGCTCTGCCGTGCTCTCTACAGTGAGACGATTGTGTTGTTTTTACTCCCTCTCAGATGGGAAATCCAAGAAATAGGACGTGAGTTGGGTGTGGTGGGGCATGCTTCTCTGTAATCCTAGCCTTTGGTAGGCTGAGGCAGGAAGATTGCTGCTACTTCAAATCCAGCTTAGGAAATATAGGCTCTGCCCCTTAAAAAGCTAAATATGGGGGCTGGAGAGATGGCTCAGTGGTTAAGAGCACTGGTTGCTCTTCCAGAGGTCCTGAGTTCAATTCCCAGCAACCACATAACTAACTAACTAACTACCTAACTAACTAACTAAATAATTTTTTAAAAAAGCTAAATACTATCACCACTATTACTACTAATATAATAAATAATAATGAGACTTTTCTTTTTGTTTTAGATGGGATCTCACTATGTAGCTCTGGCTGTTTTGGAACTTCCTATATGGACTAGGCTGGCCTTGAGCTCAACTCAGCCAGAGATCGACCTGACTCTGTCTCCCCAGCGCTGGGATTAAAGGCGTGTGTCACTACACCCAGCAGATGGTAACTTTTATTAGCTACTAACCATTCCTAAAACCTTAGTCAGCCTGACTGGATGATAGATTGCTTCCTATTTGCACTAAAGATGATGGGTGAGGTAGTCAAGGAGTGTGCAACCAACCGTGAACACAACGTGCAGACGCACAGCAGTTAGTAAGAACCGTCAGGGTGTTTGCAACGGCTGCTTAGATATTTTTAGCCTTGAAAGTATTTTTATGGGGGGGGAGTCACTATGTTTCCCAAGTTTTGACCTTGAACTCATGATCCTTTCTTCTTTTTTTGTTTCTTGACAGGGTTTCTCTGTGTAGTTCTTGTGCCTGTCCTGGATCTCACTTTGTAGACCAGGCTGGCCTCGAACTCACAGAGATCCGCCTGCCTCTGCCTCCCAAGTGCTGGGATTGAAGGCGTGCGCCACCACCGCCCGGCTATGATCCTCCTTTCTTAGTCACCTGAGTTTACAGATGTGTGCCCCTATACTTAGCAAAAACTTGTAATTTTTTGTGATGTCTTTCATCAGTCTAAGTGAATATTCACATTCATACCTAGCTTTGTGTCAGTTTGCATGAATCCCAGGCTCTACAGAACACAGCCTTTGTGCCACGCCTTATATGAAGAATATCTTCATTTATCCCCCAACTTTCTAGGGCAGATAGTCTAGGTCTGCTGTGGATGTCTTTCTGTATGCTGTGAATATGTGTTGCTCTGACTGGTTGATAAATAAAACCGTTTGGCTTATGGCAAGGCAGCTTAGAGGCAGGCGGAAAATCCAAACAGATGGACAAGAAGAGAAAAGAGAAGCAAGATGTAAAGGTATTGGTAAGCCACAAGCCATGTGGCAAAGTATAGATTTGTAGAAATGGGTTAAGATATAAGAGCTAGCCAGCAAGAGGCCTGCCATAGACCATACAGTTTGTAAGTAATGTAAGCCTCTGTGTGTTTAATTGGGTTTGAGCGGCTGCAGGACCTGGTGGGACACAGGAAAACTTTCAGCTACATAGGTCCATATTTTGTAAATGAGAAAAACAAGCAGGAATTGGCTGAAGAATTTCTCCCTAGGCCATCAGAATATTGTTCTTACCCACTGTCTGCAATACAGTCTCTCTCCAAAAATACCCTGGGTATCGGAGTGCTCCCGGATCAAGCCCCCGGAGCTTCCCTGGATCAAGCCTGAAGGAGATACAGTCCTGAGTTTTTTGTGGGTCAACTCTTCCCTGATAATTTTAACTCCAGGAAGGCACTTCCTGTATCTTTGCCCAGAATAGCACTCAGTGACAGTGTCACAGAGGAGAGGGACTAGTGCTCCACTAAGTCTCAGTTCTTGGTAAAAGCCCTAACGTGGTGGGACAGGTGGCACAAAGTGTGACGTGAGGCAGGCATGACCCACAGCACTGAGGACCGTGTCGAGATCGAGGCAGGGGCGGGTCTGTGTGCACGCCTCGTGAGGAAGTGGCGATTCGTGCTGAAACAGGTGGAGGGAGACTTTCCTGCTCAGGACCAAGCAGAAGAGATCACAGGTCTCTCCTTCATCCTGGAGCCACTGGAAAGGACAAGCTTCAATCTAAGCAAAGGACAGGATCCCACCAGCCAAACCAGCCACTCACTGACAGATACTGTCTACCATGTGCCCTACCAAGAGTCAGGGCAGTGAAACAGGCCTGGTTCCCATCTCTGGGGCCTCTGCCTGGGGCATGATCACTTTCCAGTCCATGCTGGCGTTTTGGAATCTGGAGTGCTACCCTGCAGGCCATGGAGAGCTGGAGAGATGTTTAATCCAGATCATCACCTCGGGAATTTCACAGAGAAGAGCCATGGAAGAGCTTCCAGCAAACATTCCTCAGCCATTGCTTTGGTTGGGAAGTAGTAGAACAGGTACATGAGCTTCAGCTTATGAAACAGGAGTGTGTCTCGGGAGCAGTCCATGTGCCCGGGCCAGCTTCCCTCCAATATCCTGCTATGAATAAGAGTCAAAGCAATCCAGAAGAACTCAGGTAGGTTCTAGACTATCACTCCACTCAAGCCCTGAAAATAACATCAGTTTGGATGAGGAAAAAGAAAACTACATTTTGCCGGGCGGTGGTGGCGCACGCCTTTAATCCCAGCACTCGGGAGGCAGAGCCAGGTGGATCTCTGTGAGTTCGAGGCCAGCCTGGGCTACCAAGTGAGTTCCAGGAAAGGCGCAAAGCTACGCAGAGAAACCTTGTCTCGAAAAACCAAAAAAAAAAAAAAGAAAAAAAAAAAAAAAAGAAAAAAGAAAACTACATTTATCCGGGGTTAATTAGGATTGCAATCTGGGAAAACAGATTCAAGCAATCCTAAGAACTGGATTCTGGGCTCGTGAGACGGCTCAGTGAGCACAGGTGCTTGCCACCAAGCCTGAGGACCTGAGCTCAACTCCTGGAGCCCCCATGGTGAGAGACGAGTCCCACAAGCTGTCCCCGACCTCCACATGTGCTCCAGTGGGGAATCAAAGGCATAGCGCACAGACGAGTTCCATCTCAGAACACAGAACTGTCTTTGAAATCATTCAAAAGGATGATTTGTAGCTGGGTATGTGATCCCAGCACTCAGGAGGCTAAGGCAGGAGATAGTGAATGTCAGGTCAAAAACCCTTGTCTTGAGAAAAAAAAAATGCTGTATCTGAAAGCAAATAAATGAAGAAGTGGGATGGAGAGGGACGGGAAAGAGGGATGTGCAGCTTTTACAGCCCCCGGGATCCTGGGATGCTCCCAGGGCCCCCTGGAGTGTTTAAGGAACTGGGGAAAAGAAAGGAGACAAGATGGGAGAGGTTCAAGGAGGCAGAAGAGCAGGTCAGGTCACCCGGTGCCAACAAAACCCAGGCAAAAGCATCCGCAGCCTAATTGTAGAAACCTTAGAGTCCCAGGGGGCACAAAGCTGTGGTCCTGGGAAGAGGAATGTGACCTGAAGCAGACCTGGCCACCTGTTGCAGCTCCCAGGAATCCAGTGTGCAGGCCAGGTGAGACCAAAGGCTGGACAGCCACGAAGACCCACAAACCCAGACCTTCAGCAGAGTCCGTCACAACTGAAGCCAACTGCCCTCTCTCAGTGCCTGGCTAAGCAGACAAAAGCCTCTCCCCTCCCAGAGGAGTCAGAGTCCAGCCTGATTCTGCAGACAGAATCAAGATTCTAGCTGTGCACTCCATGAGTCCTAACAGCTACGACAGTCCAATAAACAAATCAGTGGCAATGGCCACTGCAGGACCTTCCAAATGAACCTCCCATTACTGAAGCCAAGGGGTGCCCGGGTGGTGTCCAGCAATAGTGAGACGGGAGCGGGGAGGGCCAGGCTGCTTTACTGCATGCCAGTCCAAACTGGTCCTGCAGCCCCTGGCTTCACTTTCACATCGGCAGGAGGCTTGAGCCTCAGGACACACTAGACAAGGGACACCGATGGGGCATTGACTATTGTAGGCAGGAGATGGAACTAGAGCCTTTTCCCCAAAGTTCAGGCAGATGACACCCCCAGAAAAGTGTCTCAACTGAAAGAGGAATTGTGAGTTGTGCATGTGGTCTCAGAGCATACGTGTGTGCATGTACGTGCACAGGTGTGAGCAACAGGCCCACTGAGCACAGCCTCTCAGCTACTGCGCAGCCTCGGGTGGCTGGGCGCCAGAGCGAGCTGGTTGAGGAAGATGAGACCAAGGAGCCAATCAGAGGATGGATCTCCTCTTCACAGTTTGGAAAGCTGCTCATTCTGGAGAGGCTCTCAATATTTAGGTGGTCTCAAGTGAATCAGGAGAAATAAGAAAGAGAGGGAGGGACCTATGTAGGTCCTCAGATGCAGGAATCCAGGCTAGGTCCACCCCCATCTCATTTGCCCATCCCATGTGAAGGAATAGCTACTCACTGGCCCATGATACATAGGAACATATACCCACATATACAATGGATGCAATTGTCCCTTCATTCCCTCTGCCCGTGATTAACAGACGACCCCTCTAAACATACCCATTTGGCTCCTGAGAATGGGAGGACTGTATTTGCCCAAAGTGACAACTGTATTTATGAACCAGAAAACGTGGTTTGTGTTCAAAGAGTAAAGTCCTGTGCACACTTGTCAGGGTGGGCCATCTTGTCATAAGCTCCATGAGCCTGGTGACCTCTGAGGAAGGACAGAGAGGCCAGAATGCAGAGAAGAATTAGTAGGGCATGGATTCAATGGCACAGACTGGCAATCCACACAACTCCTGTTTATTCTTGACATCACTGAGTTCAGGAGCTTTGGAGGGGACCAGAGCTGGGCCACTGTGGAAGTGTGGGTGGCTGTGGTTCTGCATCTAATCTCAGTATGAGGAGAACAGCTGGTTCCTCAGCCCACAGCTCTCTCTGTGGTGAAGCTGAGAACCACGGTGTTTTCAGAGGTCCTCCTCTTCTGTGGAGGGGGTGGGCCCTCTGATGAGGCTGATGCCTGGTTCTCAGTACACCCCACTGTAATATGGAATCTGCCCTCTCCTGCCCAGTGTCTCCAAACACTCCTGGAGAGCTAGACTGTCCCATCTTCTCTAGGGAATGAGAAGGTTCTGCTCCAAGCTCACTGGCAAGACCTTTGGGGCCTGGGAGACCTCAAGGAAGAAGTAGGAAACAGAAGCTCCTTAAAGTCTTCTCCCTCAGCAAGCCCTGGCCTAGGGCCCTCCATCACATCTCTACCACAGTCTTCTGACTCCTACCAGGTCAGCCCCCAACCCCTTCCCCAGCCTGTCGTCGATCCAGAGCCAGCTGAAGGGCATGCCTTATAGTCTCCATGTTGTTCAGGACGTTGTATCGACTCAGGGTCACCAACCGATCAAACTCCTTGGGCTCATAGGTGAAGTCCATCATTCCATAGGGGGTGTCTGGCCCGTTGATGGTGAAGTCCCCAAAGGCCTTCTCCTCAGCTGTTTGTCGTTCTATACCTGGGGTGGGAAAAGCAAGGCTAGGCTAGGGAACTCTATGAACTGGCTGGGAGCTGATGGTCCTGGATACTTTCCCTGCTCAGGATTTCTGGCTTGCTCTCTGGAAGAGACCATCTTAGCTCTCAGGCCCATTAGAAAGAGATGGCTCAGAGAGAACACGAAGGTCCAGGCATCAGAGGGCTCAGTGGTCAGCACAGGTCCTCCAGGAGGCTAGTGTCCCATCCTCCCCCTGAGGGTTAGAATAGGCTTGGGACTTCCCTTTACCTGGGGCCAGATGTGTGCGAAAGGTCCTGTTGACAAGGGGGAAATGCAGCACAATGGGCGAGCAGGGGTCCTCAGCCTTGGTGAACAGATAGCACTCACGGGGGTTCTCAAAGTCCTTGGGGCCCACCTCAATCCTGGGGAAGGGGATTCCACGGTCCAGGCAGTACTTCTCCGTCAGCTGTAAGACCTGGACAAAGAGGCAAGCTTCTGGCCCCTACCTGGACTCAGGCTTCAGCTAGCTCTTGGTCTCTGAATGACTGATTTTCTGAGTCACCTTTCTATTTGCCAAATAAAGTTGGAAATAAGCATCTAGTGAAAGCACAGTGAGTTAGCAATAATTAGCAAAGGCCAACGGTCAAGCTAGTTCTCTAGACCTCTCATGCCATCCTCATTCCTCCCCTTAACATGGCTGTCCCTTCCATAGTCCCTCCACTGTTCCCTGTTAAGGGGCTGATAGCAAGGGCGTGTTGGACGGGTTTTTAGCTCTTCTCCAATCCTAGGCAGTCACTGGACAGGGAGGATAAAGAGGAAGTCAAAGAGAGCCCGCCAGACCCACATCTGATTGATGGCATCCATCCACTGTCCTAGGGATTTTGAGGCGCCCTTTGCAGATCTCTCCCTAAGAGGACTTTCATGGCCCTTTGCAGATCTCTCCCTAAGAGGACTTTCATGGCCCTTTGCAGATCTCTCCCTAAGAGGACTTTCATGGCTAGTGTTACCATAGTAACAAAGGGCAGCAACCCCAGGCCCCCTGTGGAGCCGTGGAGCAGGGAAACCCTAACATAATTAGGCAGGTTCTAGGACAGAGTCTAAAAGACAGCCGAGACCCTCTTTACATATCCTCTCATAATCCCAGAATTCTCCAGCTGGGAGACCTGGACTGTCAACAATGTTTAAAAGGTACCTCCACCAGAAGGGACACCCAAACACCCCGTCGGGCCTCTCAGCAGAGATTTCTCCTCCTCCTCCCCTCCACTCACTTTAGGTGACCCCTGCTTCCTTCCTTACCTGAAAGGGGGCTTCCAAGGAATAGTCGAAGGACACAATGAGGTCCACAGCCCGCCGGGGCTGCAGGATCAGCGGGAATGGCGAGTTGATGGCAAAGCCTCCGTCTACTAGGCACAGGCAGTCCTTCATGGGTGTGAGCTGGTTGGGGCAGGCATCAGGGTGTCTGTCTGTAAGGTGTATAGGGATAAATGCAGTTGTTCTTGCTGGTGACCCTCCTCTCCTTGCATCTATAGTCACAGTCTCTAGAATTCTCCTGCCTCCCAACAGCCAAGGAGTCCCTCACCCTGGCCTTTCCACCTTGCCCTTCAACTTTCAGCAGTCAGAAAAGCCTTCCCCATCAACAGAGGACCACGACCTTACCTCCTCCAACACCCAGATAAAAGCCAACGCTGGCCCCAGTGAGCCAGATGTGTCTATAGGAAGGATCTGCTTACAGTTCCCCCCTCCCACATGGTACCACACACCTTTCCAGGCCATGAACTCCCTGCTAGTCACATAGTCCTTGTGCAGGCAGAGGCCTTGGGTAAAGTTAAAGTTCCGGGCACAGGTAAAGCGGGAGGTGAATATGTCCAGCACAGCCTGAGAGAAGGGACTGTGTGGGGTGAAGAGCCTGGTACGCAGCCGTGTGGGGTCCTGGTCCTGCGACCGGAACTTTGGGCAGTCATCTGGATAGGGGGCAGTGAAATACAGTGTGAACCATCTTTGTCCTCATTCTTCATCCCTCTGCCAGGGCCCTGGCAAGCAGCAAGTGGTGGTGACTGACCAGGGCCTCTGCTCTCACCTGTGACAGTGACACTCTCTTTGTAGGAGTCCAGGAGGCGCAGGCCCGAGCCTCCCATCTTCCGGAAGATCTCACTTAGGCTGGCTGCGAAAGCACTGCCCCACATGCCTAAGGAGACAGGCAGGGCCCCATATCACAGCCTGGCCCTAGCCCTGCCAAACTCCAATCTCTAAACCTAGACTCACCCTGCAGGTAACAGATGCGGGGCTCTGGCCAGCGCTGCAGCACCCGACCCATGAAGAACTCGGAGCCAAAGAGTTCGGTGGGAACATAAGCCCCATACTTGTGGAAACCGACCTCATAGGGGGTGAACTCACACCACTCTGGGGAAAACAAAGAAACCAGGGTCCTCATGACTGAGCAGGAACCTTGACTTTCCAAAAACCAGAGGCAGGAACTCCATCATTCGCCAAGGTCCCTGCTCGGGAGCACCTCCCACTTACATCTAGGAGCCCCACCCTCACCCGCCCTCCACCGCCATCTCCCTGTCTCCTTCCTTTGTGCCCACACCCAGGCACCTGCAAAGTCTTCCCCACTGATGTTTGTGTGGACATTGATGCTGGCATAGATGGGGTAAGGGTTCTGACCCTGGCTGACTATTTCTTGCTGGTCTGACAGCTTGGCAGGGTTTTCCTGGGCAGGAGAGAGAGCAGACAGCTTGGCTTTGGGGGAACGCCTGTTCTCTATCTTCGGGCTTGACATCAGCACCCTGAGGGGGATGGTGCACCCACAAGGCCAGGCTGTAGCTTTAGGCTGTAGCAGAGCTCAGCCCCCTGTGGGTTTTCATGATACCAGTGCCTCTGGGAACACCCTCTCCTTTGTCATTCCAGAGAGCACATCAGAGCAGACCGCCAGACTGACAGTTTGAGGGGATCATCGGAAAGCCAGTCTAATTTCTTTACAAAGAAAATCACTAGGAGACGTAACTTCTAGAAATGAGATAGCACAGGTGGCCACGCCCAGCCAGTAGCCACTTACTGTGGGTCAGCGGCCTGAACCTTCTGCCTCAGTCGGACTGGGCCTGCAGTTCTAGGAGTAACTGCTTGGTGGCATGGGTCAGGGCTGCTTTTGCCAATGGGTGGGTGGGCATGGTGCTCTGCCTCAGAGGCAGGCAGGAACAATTTTCAATACATGCTTTTACTGGGCTCTACCCCAGGAATAAGAAAGGAGTCAAGGTAGAAGAAACATGTGGAAAGGGAGCTGGGATGGGGAGAAATACAGTCACTTCCTGGTCTCTTACCTCCTGGTTCAGGAAATACTCAACGATGAGGCCCCAGAAGTCCGTGAGGGACATGTTGTGGCCTCTTCTCTCCCAGGCCTCCTTTTCCTGGGAGTAGTACTGCAGCTTCTCTGCGGACAGCATTCCTATCTTACTGCTGCAGACTCGAGCCGAGGCACGTCCAATGGGGCCCTGCAAAGATTTCTGGGACCAGGATGGATCCTTGTAGAGTGTAGAGATGCACCTGCGGATGGAAGGGATGCCTGTGAGTTAGAGGATGCTCCTCCTTGTCACATACACTCAGACATGTCCCTGGGACCCAGCCTCCTTTCACTCATCCTAACCCCCTTGAAGGCAGGCTCCCAGCCCCTTATCAGAGATTCGGTCCCATCTCCTGGACATCCTTACCCACCCAGAGCTCACCCTGTGTTCTGCCCTACCTCACTTACCAGGTAGACCCAGAAACCCCGCTCAGGTAGGTCACAGCATCCAGAAGGCCAAGTTCCTGCAGCCCCGCCAGGCTGCCGTACAGGGAAGTCATGGCTCTGGTTCCACCCCCAGAGCCTAACACAGCGATCACAGGCACCTGAGCACGGCAATGATTTGTTAGCAGCAACACCGGGCCTGACGTATTTACTGCTTATCCACAGCTGCCGTTGTCATAAGTGCCTTCCGTGTATTAGCTCACTGAGTTCTCCCAGAAACCCAGGGAGCCCCCCACTTGACAGACGACAAAATTGATGTGTAAGGTTAACCGATGTGCCCAAGAGTGATGGTTCTCAAACCCAAGAGTGAGAGGCCACAGATGACTTGTCTTTTTAAAAATTCTGTGTTACGTGTGGTGTATATGAGTGTACATGGTTCTAGGCGTGTGTACATATGAGTACATGTGCATAGGGAGGCCTGGGGTGATACCAGGTGTCATTTTCTGCTGCTCTCCACCTTATTTTTTGAGACACTGCTTTCACTGAACCCATGGATTCAGCTAGACTGGCCGGTCACCATCCCCCTCCCCCAGGGCTGGAGTTGCAGATATGTGCCACCATGCCTGGCTTTTTCACCTGGGTGCTAGGGATCTGAACTCAGACAAGCACTTTCCTGCCTGAGCCTACTCCTCAGCCCGTAGTTTTGTTTTGTTTTCTGAGATGGTCTCCTGAAGACCAGGATGACCTCAAACTCATTCTGTAGCCAAAGATGGTCTTGGTCTCTCTGGTTCTGCCTCCTAAGTGCTGGAATTACAGGCATGCACCGCCATGCCTGTGGGAGCCCGTTTTCAGGTTCCTCGTGGCTTTACCCAGCAGGTCCGCATAGAGGATGATTAGGACCATGGGCCTGAGTGCAGGTGTCTGGGATGGTCTGCACTTGGCTGTGCTGGGGGAGGAGGTCTTTTGCTCCACCCCTTGGCGTCTCTATAAATACCCTGGGGCAGAGACAGTCAGGGGCCGTTGGAAAAGGTTCCAGGCCCTCTCGAGGCTATCCTTTATTTTCTGTTTATCTCCGCAATATAAATCCTTCTATCTAATATTTCCTGCTGCTCACACTCAAGAAAACTCTGGGGAACTGTGGGGTTGGTGGGTAAACGCCCCACACATGCCTGGCTTCTGCGGCAGCTCTTAGCCGTTATTTCAGAAAGATGTCTAGTAACAGGTACATTTGATTCACCAAACCCAGTTAGCAAGGCAGACACTTAGTCCTGGCTGGCTCCTTGTGGTTCTGTACCGTGTGTGGGGCCCTCAGTGGCATCTTTGGCCTTTCCTCAATAGATGCCAGCAGTATCCTCTACATCGACCTACCACTTACAACAAAACATCCCTGGACACTGATAAATGTCCTCTGGGGACTGGGAAACAAGATTGCCTGCAGCTGAGAACCACTGACTGTATTGACAGAGACTAGCAAGCATCCCTGGCCTGCCCCCAGATAGAGGACACCCAAAGTTTGAGGCTGTCTTCAGGATCAGAGGTGCCTGGTAGGATTAGCTTTTCCACCAAGGGTTGACTCAGTCTATCAAGACTCTGACTCCTTTTTTTCTTCCCCTGGCCCTGCTCACTGGGGCCCTACTGTTACAGAGTGCTGGATGAATCAGAACAAACATCTGGCACTCAGTGGCCACCTCTGTTGACTGAATACAATCTAGGTTGTTGGCAGTACTGGCCAGTGCTGGACAGTGGTTCCACATCTGCTGAACCCATGTGGCAAAGAAGATGATACCAGCCTTTTCCTGGCTTATTCCACTGGTCTACCTCTTAGCATTCCTATCTTCTTGCCTCCCAGTCACAGGCCAACTGGTCCTTGCCTAAGAGATCCTACAGAGCCTCTACTTCTGGATCCCTCTGACCACTGTCCAGTTGTGCCCTCTCCAAATTCATTTGTTGAAGCCCTATCCCTCACATTCGACTGTTTACAGAGCCTATAAGGAAGTGATATGGTTAGAAGAGGGTAAGAGGGGAGGCCTCAATCTGACAGGACCGCTGTCCTGACCAGAAGAGGAAGAGGCCTGGACATGGAAGTATATCCCTGGAATACCAGCACTTGGGAGGAGACTGAGGCAGGAGACTCACATGTTCAAGACTAGTCTGAATTACATATGAAGCCAGGCCTTAGCTACCCAGTAGTAATACTTATCTCATTAAAAAAAAAAAGGTTTTAGGAGGTGGGTATGGTGGCGCACACCTTTAATCACTACACCCTGGAGGCAGAGGCAATTAGTTCTCTGTGAGTTTGAGGCCAACCTGGTCTACATAGCAAGTTTGAGGTCAGCCAGGACTACACAGTAAGATTCTTTCCTGAAATGGGGGTAGTGGAAAGAGAGTTCCTGCTCCTTCCTGAGTATGCACACACACAGGCACACATTCATACACATACACACGTATACACTGACACATACACATTCACACACATGCACACACTCAGACACGCATTCATACATGCACACACACAGACACAGACACAGACACAGACACAGACACACACACACACACACACACACACACACACACAGGAATGGCCATGTCACACCACAGCAAGAAGGCAGCTGTCTACCACTCAGGAAGGAGACCCCATGAGAAAATGAATTTCTGTTGTTTAAACTACTCAGCCTGCAGTATCCTGTTGTGACAGCCCAAGCTGCTAAAGCTATCCACCCACAGCCAGGACTGTGTAAATCTTCATTCCGGTTCCCAGCTGCTGATTGTGCCCATCGGCTAGGGGAACAAGCCCGTTTGTTCTCTTCCTCCTCTGCTGCCTATGCTTCCTCTGAGCTTCCTGTCATCTTTATCCATGTAACACCCATCAAGGGGACAGGCTGGACTTAGAGTTCATCTACCATCCCATACCTGGTCACAGTGTAGAGCCTCGCGCAATCCCATCACCCGCTGCAGGGCCTTGGATACAACCTGCTTCCTCTTGTCCAGAAATTCCAGCTCCCCATCGCAGAGCTCAAAGCCAAGGCGCAGGTCTAAGTCCCCAGAGCTGATTCAGATGGAGTAGATGGAGTATGGAGGAGAACCTTGAGGCCAGTCTATTTTCCACAGGAACAGATCCACACTCTGGGAAGTCCCACAGAAAACACCCCAGGGACTTCCCACTAGTACCAAAGAGGTGATCCCCATGGCTGGACCCAAGTAGGCAGGAAGGCAGAACTCACTGGTGTATTTCCCACTCTAGCCAAGCCCAAAGACTTTCCACAGCAAATCCCCACCTCACCTCATTTCCGCCTTCACACTCAGAGCCACCTCCTGACCCTGAAAGAGACACAGTGCCCTCATCCCTGATCAAATAGAGTCAGATGCCCACCTGTGGCCCTTGGTGCTCAGGTAGGAGGCCGGTGTGGACCCCAGACCTCTCTTGGTGATCACAGGGCAGGCAGGAGCCCCCAGCATCAGACTAAACCTTACCTCCTCCAGGACCACAAAGTGCTGTTCCTCCTGGCCGAGGGGCAGAGAGGAGAGCAAGATGCCTGTCTCGCTCAGCCTGTTGGTCTGAGCCTCCAGCTCATCATTCTGGCCACTCTGTGGAGAAGAGTGCCAAGGAGCAATGGGGGTTGGAAGACATGCCTCCCAGGCACTCTGGAGTCTCCTCCTACATGGACTCATTCCATTATCCTTCCCTTTGCCATTGCTCACTTACCTGCAGAACCAGGAGCTTCTCTTGCAGCTCTACATGTAGTCTGGGGCTCAGCATTGGGTTGACGTGGAAGGTGAAGGTAGGTGGTAGGCCTGGCTCCGTGGTCTGCTGCAGAGACACTGGCTGTGGCTTCTCATAGGCCCCAGGCACTGCCAGCTGGATCTGCCTCAAGCCTGAGGGCAGAGGTCCAGCGAAGGGTCAAAGTGGGCAGATGTGAATGTGGCTCAGGACAGTGACACTCCAGATGACAGCAATTCCTCCTCTTCCCCGGGTCCCTAGCTCTCATCCCCTGCTCACTCAAGTACCTTGACCACAGAAGAACCATGGAGAGCTCTTGGCTTCTACAATCAATCAGCCCTGGTATAGTGTGAGAAACATACAAATACTAGGAGGGAAGGGAATGGGTCAGCCCATAGCCTATGGGACTGGTGATTTTGAAATTTTTATTTTAATTACCTAACGTGTAATTAATTATTTAAATATCTATTCATTATTGCATTAATTACTCATTTTCAACTGTTAATATTCCCAATCTCTTGACTCCATTCATGCTTTTGGGGGGGTTTGTGGCCAAAGAGAACACAGACATATGCTGCAAGTTGCTGTGGCCTTAGCTTCCAGAAGTCAAAGACTTTGGAAGGACGTAGGGACTCAGAAGAGGAGGTAGAAGGCAGAATGGCATTCTGGGAACAAAAGAATTATATATTGCAGAAGCAGAGGGGTCAGAGGTCAGCTCAAGCTAGGTGACACCCAAGCAGGGAAAGAGCAAAGAAATGAGGCTGCATATTGGCAAGGAACAGTGGGGTGGGTCTCTTCCTGCCCTGCTTCCTAGCAGCTGTGAGAGGTGGTGGATCCAGAGAGAAACTTTCAGGCCTGGTATCCACACACTGCTGTGCAGAAGAGTCTGGGTTCCAAACACGTCACAGAAGCAGCAGTAACTCGAAGGGTTTGGAAGACAGCAGAGGTCCAGATAGGATCCCATCCTTGCACCTGGAAAGGTGCTTTTTCACGCCTACCAAGGATTATGGCCTGAGATGGAGTCAGACTAAGGTGTGCCATTCATTGAAGAAATGCTAGATCTTATGGTGAAGGCAATGGCCTCGGAGTGTGTCAGAACTGTGTTTGGTCCTGGCTCTCCATGTATTATTGGTGGTATGATGTGAAGAGGTCAGTAACTGCACCTGCTTTCCATGGTTGCCATGAGGAAATATGGCCAAGTTCTCAGCATAATGCCACTCTCCAAGTCACCAGGGCAGTGCTCATAGGTTCAACTCTATGTGGACATTAACTCACACCACCAGGCTCCACTCCCACATCTGGATTCTCCTCCTCTGTGCCAGACTGCATTAATAGCCCCAATCCTGCACTTCCCCCAGGATTCTCTCTTTGCCATGCTATTATGGATGGGTGTGTGGGTGTGTGTGTGTGGGTGTGTGTGTGTGTGTGTGTGTGTGTGTGTGTTCTCAGCTCTTTTTTTCCTCAGAGGAACGGATTGGATCAAGAGCTGCATTTTAAGCAGTTTATCAAAGCAAGCACTCCACAGGGAGATTCCAGTGGGCTGCCACGTGGAGCAAGCCCTTCACAGAGAGGTGACAGAGGCTGCCGCAGAGCAGGGAGATGCCCTGGGAGTCCTGTCTTGTGCATTTTAAGTTTTTAAACTTAAGATTTTAAATATTCTATGAATATTTTGTGGTGGGTGACATATTCAAAGGGTAATATGATCTTCTTCCCCCACCCCAAATTAGAGTGGAGTGAAAACCCTTTTTAGGACATCCGTCCTTCCCCATGGTCCTTTAGAAAAGCCTAAAGGGAGGCAAAATAATGATGAAGCTAGTTTTGGGGGGATGCTGATCCTTCGCACATATGTGGGGGAAATGCCCTGGTGCCTTAGTATTTGAAAATAATAAATCGGCAGTCTCAGCGTATTTAACTATGGAGTGTTCTGACTGACAGGAGACACAGCCACCATGATGCAGCTGTAGTTTTCTTGGTTAGCTTATGCCTAACTCTTTCTTGAATTGCTCAAGGTCCCATGACTTTTGGTTGAGACATTTTGTTATTTTTATTTAGGTTTTGTGTGTAACATGCTCACATATGTGTGACTATGCATGCCTGTGCACACATAAGGACAGAGGATGTTAGTGTCCTGCTCTGTCATGCTCCACCTTATTCCCTTGAGACAAGGTCTCTCTTTGAACCTGGAGCTGGGCTGGCAGTCAACAAGCTCCAGTAATCCTCCTGTCTCTGATCCCCACAGCACTATGGGCCATGCCCAGCTTTTGAAGTGAATATTAGGGATTTGAACTTAGGTCCCCAAGTGTGCGTAGCAAGTTCTTTTACCCACTGAGCCTTCTCCTTAGCCTCATTTTGTTATTTTTTTAAAAAATAATTTACTTACTTTTTTGCATTTGTGTTTTGCCTACATAATGTCTGTGTGAGGGTGTCAGATCTTGGAGTTACAGACAGTTGTTAGTTGCCATGTGGGTGCTGGGAATTGAATCCAGGTCCTCTGGAAGAGCAGTCAGTGCTCCTAACCACTGAGCCATCTCTCTAGCCCCCTCATTTTGTTTTTTTTTTTTTTTTTTTTTTTTTTTTTTTTTTTTTTAAATCTTTTTTTTTAAAGATTTATTTATTTATTTATTATGTATACAGTGTTCTGTCTGCACATATCCCTGCAAGCCAGAAGAGGGCACCAGACCTCATTACAGATGGTTGTGAGCCACCATGTGGTTGCTGGGAATTGAACTCAGGACCTTTGGAAGAACAAGCAGTGCTCTTAACCTCTGAGCCATCTCTCCAGCCCCATTTTGTTATTTTTAAAGCTGAGGTTTTAAATTGAAGGCTGAGGCCTTGGTTTCACACAAGACTGGCAGATTGAACAGGTTGGAAACGAGCCTTGTGTTATCTTTTAGGACTCCCTTCTCCCAGAGTCTCAGGTCTTCTATGCTAACCAAGTGACTTCAGTTGCCCCTCTAAGGAGGCGGACTACACCCCTTGTCCTCTGACGTTGAGTTTAAGCATGTGTCTTGTTTGGGCCAGTAACATGTGAGTGGCCAGTATGTGACTAAAGGCTTTAAAAGCACTTGCTCAATTGAGTCGGCTCTCTCGCCTCTGCTGTGGTCTTAAGATTATGTCCAGGCTGGTCAGTTGGGCACAGGTCGGGGAGACCACTCGTAGCCAAGTCCCTGCTGCCCTCTCCCGCTCTTTAAGCCGTGAAAATGTTCAGAGCCACAGCCCTCACATCCGACGTGGCCTCCAGGAAGAAGGCAAGCTCCAAGGGCCCGACTCACCGTGCTCCCCAAGTGAGGCTGTCTTGTCTCCCTTGAGTGTGCCATGGATTCTCAGACAGGGCTGAGCCTGAGGAAAGCAGAAACCTTAGCAGTCAAGAGAGCCTAGAGGGTCTGATCAGGATGGAGGAAGGGGAGAACAGCCAGGGCAAGGACCATAGCAGCTATCTGGGACGTGGGTCTTATGGGCAGGGGTCTTTTGTGACGATCCCCAAGGTTGTACCGTGTTCCTCCTCAAGACTCATAAGAAGTGGGCATTTGTGGGAAAGGGAATTATGGGGTCCCACAGGCTCCCTCAGCAGCCAGGGCCCCAGAGGAACAATGGTTCTGTGATACCCACACAAGCTCATGGTAGCTTCGTGTTCTTCATCCCCTAATACACTTCCCTTCTAAGGAAGGACTGAGTGTCTTCCAGAGACATGGGGGCATCATGGACTCAACCAGTCTACTGTGTCTCCTGTTCTCCAGTCCCACACAATTCCACACCCATCTTCCCTACTCACCACCAGGACCCCATTGGTGATGACTTCAGATGCAGGCATCTGACTGTAAAAGATGAAGGGTTTCATGGGCCATCACCCCCCTCACCACGGCTATTAAAACAATGTGACCAAAGCAGGCATAAGAGCCTGGAAAGCATGATAGGGTCGTGGGTAGGGAGGCTTGGCATCCAACATACAAGTAGGTGTCAACACCAGGCTGTCCTCTCTGAAGCCACGCCTCCAAGGCAAATGAAGGACTGAGGACTGGCACTCGGAATAAACAGAGATACAGGCTCTCACTGGACTCACCTCTTTTCCAGAGTAAATGCCACTTGCAGCTCTTGTGAATCCTACATGGGGGTGAGCAAGGCAGCAGCTTTCACAAACCTTCAGAAATCTCAGGGACTGCTCCTGCCTCCCACCTGTGCTGAGCTCTAGGGCCTAGGAAATGAGTCTGGTACGGCACCTCATAGGCACAGGGGAACAGTAGTGTTTCTAAGAGAAGCTTCATTCATTCAGAAATATGTGCCATATACGGTTCCAGACTTAGCAAGGCCAAACCAAGATGGCTGCTTGTCAGTGGCTTAGGGGTAGGGGTGGAGGGGTCCTCTCCTGAGATTTACTTACTGCTAACCCAGGTAGACCTCACCTGCTGGTTCAGAGAGAAGTTGTGTGTATGAGGCTGGCCAGGCTGGAGATTACTCAGATCAAACAGAAGTACGGAGAGTTGGTCACTGTCCAGGACATCCTTGTCACAAAGGGTAAGCTCCAGGACATTCTGGGGATAGGACTGAAGGATCAGCATTGTGGAGGAACTCATTGGCCTCCATGCCCAGTCCTTTACTGGCCTGTACCTTCACAGCACCATGGATCCGATAATAGAAGGTCTCATTCCACTCTGGGTCACTACAGTTAGTCACTGTCCTTGTCTGGGTGGGGCTAGGAGAAGCTGTGGGCAGCCACAGTTGGACATAGCAGTCAGCTTTGGACACTGCAGGTAAGAGGGGAGAGGACTTGGCATCAAACTCTTCCTGTTGAAAAGGTTCCCCAGAGGAGGCTGCGCTTGGAGACAAAGGAGCAAGGGGACAGGCTACCTGCCTAGGGCAGATGAGGGAGCTTTGGTGTTCCCAGCTCCATCTTAGCCAGCTCTGCCTCCCACTCAACTGACAAGAAATCCTGCAGCAGCAGCCACAGTTCAAAACATCGTGTGGCAGCACAGACCATTGGGTAACTCCTTGAAATTGCCTGATTCAGGCAGTAAAATTCTGTGCCCTGTGTGAGCACCACCAAAGTTCCCGGAAAGCAGGCATTGATGTGTGGTAACATGAGCCTAATACACCCTCACACAGCCTCTTAGGGTCAGGAGGAGGCTGGAGTCTACACGACTCACCTCTCCAGTGCCACCCTGTCCCCCGCCCCCCCATTTGTGCACCCCACACCAGGGCAGCCTCCCTTGATAGTCAACACCAACCCTTCACTCTACTTCAAGTCTACTTCAAGTGGGTATTTGTACACACACACACACACACACACACACACACACACACACACACACACACACAAACACACACACAGCCCTGAGAACACCCTAGAGAAAAGGAGAAGGTGGAGGTGAGGCTCACTCACACAGATCGGTGTGCTGGATGTTTCTGGCCCTCAGCACTTTCACCTGAAGGTCGTAATATGGGTGGGTTTCTCGCTGAAACAACAGACCCCCAGGGACTCAGTTCCAGGAAGCCAGGAACAGCCTGATCTCCTCTCTCCAGTGTGTTCTGGCTCCTTTTCTCTCTACTGTCCCACCACAGAGCTTGCCTGGTCCAGGGTCACTGATGCTCCTGTGGCAGGAGCTCTGGGAAGCTTTTGCAAGGCCCAGGGTGTTGGGTGGTCAGAATTGGTGAGGAACCTGGATCTGCTCAACGCTAAGCTAGTTAGGTTTTATGACGGCCAGCCTACAGCTGCTCCGTCCACGTGGTCTGAGCTCTGGGATAATGTATTGAAGGTTAAACATTAAAGAGAAAGCCAGAGCCCACCACACCTATGGGCTTGCAGGCAAGGACTGGAAAACCAATCAGAGGTGGGGAGTAGGAAGGTGAGAAGCGGTCACCCAGCTTGTACTAGTCTGACAAGTTACTAAATTGAAGATTGGCTTCAAAAAAGATAATACCAGATTGCAGCCTTCTGGGCGTCAGTCTCCCTCCCGGAACCCCAACCCCCCATCCCTTCTCTCCACAATGGGTTATATGGCCGTCCTGCACATTCCTGGCAAACCAACCAAAAGCATCGGTCACAGGACTTGCCATCATTTCTTTTTGGAGATCACTTTCAAGAGCCAAGGCCTTGGCCCATCCCTCTAGTCTGAGCTTTTCCAGGTTGTCTGTGGTATGTTCCACCCTAAATCAAAGCCCAGAGCGGTGGCTGGCTTAGTCCCCACAGGGCACCATCTCCCAGGTCTGCAGTCAACACTGCCCAAGTGAGATGAGTGAGTTACCTGCCAATGCCTCCATTGCGGTCCCCTCTTCTCTCTCTTCCGCAGCAGCACTGCTCCAAGAAGGGGCAGTCCCTTGCCTGCCAGCCACTTTTGCCAGAGGGTCCCGGGCATGGCCAGCAGCCCGGGTCCCAGCAGAGAGAGTGCCTGCTCTCCTGAGCCACCCTCTCTCTGGCTACACTCACTGTAGCTCAGGTCTGGCAGGCAGCACAGGATGGGGAGGGTGGAGCAAGCCTGTGCTGAGGACTTGTACTGGGTGGCCACAGGCTGGAGGTGGGGTTGGAAGTGCTCCAGGAAATGAGTGGTGCCTGCTTTCCCCAGGCAAGAGGCAAGTTGGTCCCTTTCCAAGAGAATCTTGGGGTCCTGCTTAGCACTCTGGTCCCCAACCCAGGCCCTGCCTAACTGAGCTAGTTGTGGAAAGCAGACACCAAGAGCCTCACACCACCCTCACCCCTTGCCATGGTCCTGTTTAGTGGGTAGGGCAAGAGCCGAGGCATTCCTGTTTCCAACTAGTCTGCATTAGCAGAAGTTAGGAGGTGACAGAATCAGGGCTAACCTCCTCTAGCTGCCAGAAATCCTCACACTATTCCTTCTCCAAGTTCCAATTTCCCCACAGCTCTTGAGGAGAAGTACGGAAATCTCTGGTTCAGGGTTTCATGGAGACTCCGAGACATTTTATCTCTTTTGGCCTCCCTGTTATTCCCTCAACACAAAGGGCCTGCTGCACACTCTGAATGTACTATGCTCAAAGTCACCCCTACCCTGGGAAGATTCACTTCATGACTCCCTTCCTGATGGAAGTGCCTGGTGATTCAGGCAGAGGCAGGGACATGGCCAGGCAGTATAAATAAGGACAGGAGAGAGGCGGGCCTCCCCGACCTTAAACGGCCAGAGGCAAAGGCTTTAAAGTGTTCATGACCATGAGTGGGAGCCTGCAGCTGCGCCTGTATCATCTCCTTCCCTGTGGACCACAATCATCTAGGTGGCTGGGTAGGAGCAGTCGCTGGGAAAAGAAGTTTCTAGGAGACTGAACTGTTGGGAGATCCCTTTCATCTCTTTAACCACAACACTTTCCTAGATCTAGAGGTGGTGGTACATGGAACCCCAGCATATAGCATTCTGAGTCAGGAGGCTGACTTGAACTCAGCCATATGACACCAGCTCGAGGGACAAGATGAGACCCCTATCTCAAACAATCAGGTGATCACCACTGTCTTGCCCCAAACATACAGCTGGAGGCTGAAATGACATCTACCAAGGTGAATCAACTCTCAAACAGGCAGGTTCAGACCAGAAATTCCAGATCCAAGGGTGATGTAACTGCAATGGCCTGATTCACCTCCTGTGGATTCTGAAGTTGATCTGACTCAGAGATCTGAATCCAGCCTCCTTGCTGATCTTGTGGATAAGTAAATACTCCTGAATCCACATGAAGCCCTGGCCCTGGGCAGGAGGGGAACAGTATTAGCTGGTTGAGTGTTTTCTGGCTTAAACCACATTCTCCTCTTGGAAGCCATTTCCCCATACCCCAACCGACACACCTCAACTCAAAGTTCTGGATGATTCTCATTGGCAGAGGATCTACAGAATGGCCAGACAGCTCAAGGAGGGGACATTACCAAAGGACCAAATTGTCATTTGAGAGCTGGGCAAAATGAGTCAACTTTACTTTTCAAACAGGGTCCCTCACTCCTACCAACTCCACATCCTCACAGGACCCTTCTGGCCACAGTGAACTTTAAGAAGAGGCACAAAGCAATGCTGTGTTAGACATTTAGATTGTATAGAACTCCAGGGTTCTCAGAGTGAAGATGGGAATACAGAATTCCAGGGTTCCCAGTGTGAAAATGGAAATACAGAACTCCAGGGTTCCCAGAGTGAAGATGGGAACACAGAATTCCAGGGTTCTCAGTGTGAGGATGGGAACACAGAACTCCAGGGTTCCCAGAGTGAAGACGGGAACACAGAACTCCAGGGTTCCCGGTGTGAAGACGTGAACACAGAACTCCAGGGTTCCCGGTGTGAAGACGTGAACACAGAACTCCAGGGTTCCCGGTGTGAAGACGGGAACAGTCTGGCATGCGGAGTCAGCCATACACCCACAGCCACACCCGCTGGCACCAGATGGAGGCATTCGTGTAAGGACTGTTACTCTGATTTTCTTTTTTTTATACTTACCATCTTATCCTCTCTTCTTAGCTAAACTATTCCCCCCTTATTAACATTTCCATTGAAGTCTTCAGAAGGAAAACAGGCTCAAGGAGACTTAGTTTCTTGCTCATGTTTACTGAGGAGCAGCCCTCCATCAATGTCAGGCCGGAGCTGCTCCCGCTCCCCTCCCTAGCCCTCTATGGAGTTTGGGAAAACAGACTTCCTAGTCCTGGGAAGAAAGGATGGAGTTTGGGAAAACAGAATTAAGTATGCACACCATCCAGGAGAAAACACAGGCTTTATTCTACTGCTTCAAATACAGTTCGTGAGAAGGGATGCTACAAGCCTACCAGGTAAGAGGACAGGGCTCATATGATGGGGCAAGTTCCTGTCCTGTGGGGAGCTGCCTGGCACCCCAGTGCTGCTCCTGAGAAGTGTATTTTAAGCTGGTGCAGATGGGATCATGGGCAGCACTGCTCATTTTTATTTTTAAATTTTATGTGTATGGGTGTTTTGCCTGCATATATGTCTGTGCATGTGTGTGTGCCTCCAATGCCAGAAGGCCCTGCATACCTCGTGCAGGCTCTGGACACGCTCAATAGAGGCAGCAGTGAGTGCACCTGCTCCTGCATCACTCCTTGCCATTCCTCCACGCCTCACAAACACGTCTCACCACTGTGAGTTTCTGGTCAACTGTTTGTTCCCTGTGTGCAGTGGAGACCCACACAGCCACCCTATCCTAGAGCAATCCTCCAGTCTTGAACAAAAAGGGGGTCAGGGAACGACGATGGCCATGAAAGCAACAGGACAGAAGGTGGCTAGGGAAGAGGAAGATGCTCAAAGCAGGGAGAGCTCATCCACCAAGGCTCAACAACCTGTCCAAGCGGCTGGGGAGTGGCTGGAGCAGGCACTTCTGCAGACATCCTGCCTAGGAGACCACATACCCTGTGCAGTGCTGGCCAGGGAGTACCAAAGCCTACGCCCGCAGACTTGTGCTCTCTCACGCACCTTCGTAGAAAAGTTCAGCTACTGAGAACCTTCATACAACACACCTGACAGCTGCTTCTCCGTACACTCCTGGAAACCCACACTGTGGCTTCCCCCTTTACCTCATTTAAATATGGTCACTCTCTCCCCTTCAGTCTGTAGAGTGGGAGAGCAAGCAAGAGAAGAAATTAAGGAGCAAAATAAATAGTGAGGAAAAGGAGACTGAAAACTAAAGGGAGAGCAGGGAGGATACTTAGCAGGACGCAGGGCACAGCCCCTCGGAGAAACCACTGGCAGTACAGACAGGGAGCCTGTTCGGTCAGTGGGGCGGAGAGCTCCAGTACCAGCTCCCATGGGACTCTCCAGGCTGCCATGCTGGGGGTGCAGTGTCTTGTGAAGCTCTATAGTTATCGTAATAGAAAACTCTCAGTCAACAACCCCATGGGTACAAACACTTGAGATGAAATCTCCTTGTCCAGGTAATTGGTATATGAAGGCAAGATGGTGCATTTCCTCCTGTCCAAGCAGGGTTAAATTCCTGGAATTGTCTGCAACGTAACAGTGTAAGATAGAACTAATCTTTTTCTAGAAAAAAGCCAGCAATACCAGGTCACAAGTCCAGTTAATCCGGAGGTGCTCCAGGGAGCACGGCAGCCAGCAACATCCAAACGAGGGAGACCTTGGTGGTGGTAATCCCTGGCTCCTAATATGGCTGCTCCTTTGACTCTCTGGGAAAGCCGAGCTGTCCACTGCTGAGTCCTCGGGATGCTGGGCTCAGGTGTCGGCCGAGTTTACCTCTTTGGAACAGAAGTAGTGCACAACCACTCCATTTGGGTATCTTGCAAATGCACTGTGTGGAAGAACAGCTTAGAGGTGAGTGATGTTTTAATTGTCTCCTCCAGTACCTGCAAGAGGCACCATCCCCAGGAGCCACCCAAACCCCCAAAACAGCCTATGCCAATATCTCTGGAACGCTGTGGTACCACTTCTTCAAACAATCAGAGCATGAACTATACAACATTAAAGTACCTGCAAACATTTTTGTTACTCCACCAGCGCAGGGTTGGGGGTTTGGGTCAATGGTAGTTTGACCCTCAGTAGCATTATCAACCAACTAACCAACCAACCAGCCAGGCAAATAAATGGGCAAACAAAAAGCCAATGTAGAACATGTGCCCATGGTTTGGCGCTGGGGGATGATGTTCAGCGGAACATGTTTTGGGCTAGTTCTAGTGAATGACAGCAAGTCAAGCCTCTGCAAAGAAAAGGACTCTTCTAGCCAAGTAAGAGGCAGATCATGCTCCTTCCAGGCAGGGGGCTGACTCTCGGGCATGTCTCAACACAGAATAATCATGGCTCAGGAGGTGGCTCAAGTCCTGAGACAGCAGGTTGAAAGATCTGCTGTCCTCCCTCTGGAGGCTCATCCTTTCTATCTGGCATGGTGGGAGAGGCCTGGAATCCTAGCACTGGGGTGTGGCTGAGGCAGGAGGGTTGATTCAGAGTTCCAAATCAGCCTGAGCTACCCAGGCAGCCCGTATCTCAAGAAGACTTTGTCTCTCATCTTCTTACTGACTCTCTGGCTCCATTGTTCATTTTAGCTACCTGAGGAAGAGAGGCTTCTGGGTGAGAGTTCAACAGCTCTGCGCCATATGCCAGGTCTTTAAATTATTGAAGCTTTTCCCCAAAAGATAAGATGACTTGAGCCGGGCGGTAGTGGCGCACGCCTTTAATCCCAGCACTCGGGAGGCAGAGGCAGGCGGATCTCTGTGAGTTCGAGGCCAGCCTGGTCTACAAAGTGAGTTCCAGGAAAGGTGCAAAGCTACACAGAGAAACCCTGTCTTGAAAAACAAAAAACAAAAAACAAAAAAAAAAAAGAAAAAAGATAATATGACTTGGTCTCTCAAAGCTCAAGAACTCAATGATACAGACAGCTTCTCTCCATGGTGGGTGTGAGGTTAGTGCTGTCCATGTGACAGAATCTAGAATCACCCAGGACTTGGGCCTCTAGACATTCCTGTGGGGGATTATCTTGATTTCGTTAACTGATGTGAGAAGACGAATCTTGACTGTGAGTAGGACTATTCCCTTGGTAGGGTCTGTGGAAAATGGAGAGGTAGAGCTGAGCCCTAGGAAGCATTCACTACTCTCACTTTCTTGACTGTGGAATGCAAAGTGACCAGCTGCCTCAAGCTCCTGCCTCTGTCTGCTAACCAGAATAAACTTTCTCCCTCAAGCTGCCTTTGTTGAGTACTTTATCACAGCAACAGGGTCAGAAACTCAGGGCAGAAATCTACCCTGCATCTCCACTCTCAGGGAACCCCATCTGCCCCATCTGCTGCTCAGGAGGGGGCTCACCTGTTCCCAATCTTCTTCTTGCACACCATGCACACCTTCTCCTCAGTGATGATGCATTTCACCTGCTGGTGTAAAATCCGCTCTTCCTGAACCTGGAAGAAATTGGAGAAGTTCCATGTCCAGGTGTAGAAACAGAAAGTAGAAGTTGGCATTGTTTGTGTCTTTAGTTTACATAGATTCCACTAAATGCCATACTGACTGCTGGATCACTTGAGCTATGTGCTGCCTTGATGACAACAGGTATGTGAAAACTGTCCCAATTAAAACCCAAAGCCCTTCAGGCGGTGGTGGCGCATGCCTTCAATCCCAGCATTCAGGAGGCAGAGGTAGGTGGATCTATGTGAATTCAATGACAGCCTGGTCTACAGAGTAAGTTCCAGGACTGCCAGAGCTGTTACATAGAGAAACCCTGTCTCAAACAACCAATCAGCCAACCAACCAACAAACCAACCATGCAACCAACCAACCAACCATCCAACCAACCAACCAACCAACCAACCAACCAACCAACCAACCAACCAATCAACCAACCATCCCACCAACCAACCATCCCATCAACCAACCAAACCGCAAAGACCACCCCAGTGTGGAAGGCCCATACCCTCAGGAACTCAGCATGGAGAAGGTTCTTGAGCACTTGATTGAACCGTTTCTTTTGTGCGTTTTCTTCTAAAACCTTTTCTAGAAAGATGCGTATGTCATTGATCTGAGTGTTTGCTGGCAAAAGGTTGATCGCCTGGGGCAGAGACAGGATGGAGACAGGTTAGGGAGATCAGGAGTGAGACCAGGCAAAGCTTGTACCTGCCCCCTTCCCAGCCCTATTCCCACTGCTGCTCCATCGGCAGCCCCTGACCTTGGTGGTGTCCAATTTGCTGTAGTGTAGCTCGAGGACCTGCAGGGCGGCCTGGAGGTTGGCCTGAGGCTCCAGGAGCTCCAGCTTGATTGGCCCCAGGCAGTGAATGCTGGGGGGGGACAGGTACATCCGAAGCAGGGACAGATATACCTGTTCCAGAGATACAGACATGCATGTCAGGCTAACAGCAGCAACCCTCCTGGAACCCTCACGCCCTGAGCCTCCCTGATGATTAGAAGGCTGGTCGACAGCAACCACTGGCAGGGAGCACTCCAAACTCATCACTTTCTCCTTAATTTCTGGCAAAGTCAAACAGCCAAATGAGGATGCTGATATTGCTCTTTCCCTGAATGCCTCGTATCTGTTTAATGTTATACCATTCACAGAAAATTAACACTGAAAAATACCCTAAAGAGGCCTCCTTTTCTTATGCTTTGAAGGCTGAGAGCTTGGCCATATTTCTGACTGGTTCCAGGGCCACAGGGTCACTCCATTCTAGCACTCTTAACATGTGGGGCCAGATACTTCTTTGTCACTGAAGCTGTCCCATGCATCTCTGGACTTGTCATTGAGGCTGTCCCATGCATCTCTGGCCTCTAGCCCCAGATTCCCACCCCCACTTCCGGTCACACCAATCACAAATGTCTCGTGATACTGATGAATCAATGTATAATCAGACCCTTCCTCTGAGATGGGCCAATCCACATTAATCATAAGTAAGCCAGGACATATGGTAACTCAGTTTCTTTCCCAGAAAACATGCACTAACAATCATTTAGTGCACTGACATATTCCGTGTCTCGGTGATTGATACAAGCGCCACTTGTGGCCACACTGGATGAGTGGGGTCTGCTAAAGTGACAGAAGTGCATATGCTCCCTTGGTCACAGCTGCTACTTACATCTTTGTTGCCTTCTTTGTTTTGGTCGTAGTGTTTGTGGCAGTACCTGCAAGGGAGGAA